CAGGCAATCCACTCACCTCAGCCTCCCAAGGCACAGGATTACAGGCTGAGCCACCGAGCCCAGCTATTTCAGTTATTTCTAACCTATGGATTTTCACCAGAATTGATTTTATTTTATGTATGTAATTTCATTTATTTATTTTTATTTTAAAAAATTTTTATTATAAAGATGTGGGGTACAATTCAGGGTTAGATATACAAACATTGATCACCCAAGTATCCTTGTTGATGAGGTGTGCCCTTCCCTCCCCTCACAGGTTCCCTCAATTGCCAATCCCACTCCCCCTCCCCCTCCCCCAGAATTGATTTTAAAAATGAGGTTTTTATTACTTTAAAAATGAGTGTTGCCGGGCTCGGTGGCTCAGCCTGTAATCCCGCGACTTTGGGAGGCTGAGGTGAGTGGATTCCCTGAGCCCGTGGGTTCAAGACCCGCCTGGGCAGCGAGACCTCATCTCTACAATAAATCAAAAAATCAGCCGGGCTGGCAGCGCGTGCCTGTAATTCTGGCTACTTGGAAGGCTGAGGCAGAAGGATCGCCGGAGTTCAGCAGGTCGAGGCTGCGGGTGGCCGGGAGCGGCCACTGCACTCCAGTCTGGGCGACAGAGTGAGACTCCAACTCAAAAAAAAAAAAAAGAGAGTGTTACCTTTAGACACCTGTCTATAAAATAACTATACTACAGTATTTAAGTCCCTATTCTGCCAAATTAATTCTACAAATAGCTAAAAAGCATCTGAGGATTTTTTTTGGTCAATTTTTAAAATTAAGAAATAAATAGTTCATATCTTAAGTCTTCTGAATTTGAAAAAATGGTATAACAGGGCTTATTCTAGAAAACAATCCCTCGGTATGTTAGATATTAGGTTGTTAAAGATACTCAATTTACTACAAAGTATCCAGTAAACAGAGATTTCCCTCAAAGAATAAATTAACCACAATTGTGGCTATAATAGTCTCTTGTGTTCCAATAACAAACAGTACAGGATCCTCTATTCTACTTTTTAAAAGCCTTGTCTTATAATGAAAACAGCCTTTATAAAACGTTAAAGCTATAAACAGCCTATATAACTTATGTGGCCTTAGATTTCCATTCTAGAATTTCTTTATGTTTACCATTTATATTTATCCTAATCCAATTATGAAGTGATGGCAGGATTTTTTTTAAAGTGTTCAACATAAAGTTCAAAATGAAAGATTCAGTCTTCCTCAATATCTCCCTTGTGGTGATTACCAATCCAGGTAGAAAAAGCTCAGCCCTATCCTGAACATGTTATTTAAAAGTCTCAAATCACAAAGTCACAGCAGGATGATACCTGTGTAATGAATCATAGGACCTGTTGTCAAAAACAATCTGATTTTTCCTTGGAGAATCCCGTCTATGGAGGGGAAAAACCATTTAAAGGGATATACAATAGAACTTTAAAAAGTAATTCTCATTATGCTTCTGTTTTACAGGTTGTTAGTTACAGCAAACAAAACAAGAGATAAAGGAATTCATTAACTTTATCTTTTTTTGAAGATATTTTAAGACTAATTTTAGTTAAGCGATGATCTGTTTACTAGACAATTACAGAAAGTTAAAATTTTTTTTTACACAATGGTTACTTGTATAGGCTGCAGACATAGTAAAACCTACCCACCACAAAGAGTCAACAAGTATCAAAACACAATCAAAGACATTTATATTGAGTAACAGACTCAAATAAAAAGCATAATAAAAATCATTGTAGCTTTAAGTACACAAAACTAACTTCTCCGGAGATAAGTAAATGACCTTTTTCCCCCATCTTGAATACAAGGCCATAGCTCTTAATAAAAACCACAGGAAGATTTTACAAACTTTCCAAATTCTACATTCCAGTCATAGTTTAAACGATTTTTAACCACAAGATTCTTACTTTTACTCTACTATCTGACATCTTCACATAATAAATATGGCATAATGAAATATTTCATGTATATTATGAAACATTAATCCATCTTACCACAAACATAATTTTGACAGAGGTTCAGGAGAGACATGAGTACTTTCACTACAGTGCAAGTATGAGGCATACTTAAATAAAAACATAAAATGGCCAATATACTTCCTTTCAGAAGGAATGGGAGGTAAGAAGAAAAGCAATAGAGTTCTTCACCTTTTAAACACAAAAATTCTTTCTGTGTTAAAACTGTTTTTGGTGAAAATTTAAGACATGCATATTAGTGGTTGGAGCAAATCTAACAAAAGACAGATGAGTGGTCAGGTAGAAAATAATCAAGTGTTTCTGAATTTCTGTTTAAGGAAAGGCGAAGAAAACCACCTAATAGAGCTGGAACATGATTACAACGCATTACTGATATCAAGAACCAAGATTCAACTAATCTATATAAAATTATTTTCAAAACAGCAACCTTTAGTGCACTTAATTTCCTTTAGAAGCCAAAAAAAAAAATCTTTCAAAGAATAATTTTTCCTTTACTAAATGAAACCAAACATATTCCACTTGGAGAATCTCTTCCATGTTGCTTCTAAGATGTGACTTTTGCCATCATTTTAGGCTTAGGCTCACCATGAAATGCCTATCAATGAAGCAGATATAAAGAACAAGGCAAAGAGAATAAAGGAGTCTTTCCTGTCAAAATTTACATCTTCAAAGGACAAATGGCACACCACATCTCTACTCCTTATTATGGACTCGATAAATTAGGCTTCATAATGTGCCACTGAAGAAAATCTTTAACAACTTGTAGAGATGTATAAATGTTAGAAGGGCACCCCAGTTAGATAATTAAGGAACACAAACGTGCAGTTTTTCTACTCTATTGAAAACACATATCCAACAAAAGCAATTCCCCTTTTTTCTTTTAAAGTCAAATATGATCATCTTTCACTTAGAAACTAAAAGCGTTCATACATTCAAAGAGGCCTGGTTTCTTTATGGAGCTTAAACAATTATATCATGGTCAAATCTTTCCTACCAGCAGAAAGAACCACACAAAAAGCCAAACCAAATTGACACTTAGGATAACACAGAACAGGTTTGTGATAATATGAAGTCTATCCTTGTACTTTTCTTTATTAGGTTTCTATAATTAGAGTTTGCTTTTTATGAGACAAAAAGCTCGGAAAGAAAAGACAAAATATTTTTTTGTCTCTAGATACATACTCCCTGAAGAAAAATATGAGCCCTTTAAACTGTCTCATAAACTAAGAAAATGTTTCATCTATGTTCAAGAGCTCTGATAAAACTTAGTCATACCTAGCTAAAGGACTAGTGAATTTGCTTGAATGTGCCCACATGCCACTTGTAGAAATAAGCATTAATTAGTCTTGTCCCTGGGCACTATCTTTTCTAACTTCACAGTACTTAGAAGTTTCAACTGAAATAACTTTTTTTTTTGAGTTGGGGTCTCACTCTGTCACCCAGGTTGGAGCACAGTGGCACAAACATGGCTCACCACAGCCTCAACCTCCTGGGCTCATGTGATCCTACCATCTCAGTCTCCTAAATAGCTGGGACTACAGGCACATGCCACCAGATCTGGCTGATTTTTAAATTTTTTTGTAGAGACAAGGCCTTGCTATGCTGCCCAGGTTGGTCTCAAACTCCTGGGCTCAAGTGGTCTTCCTGCCTCGGCCCCTCCAAGTGCTGGGATTACAGGCATGAGCCACCATACCCAGCCAAGAAATAAATCTTTCTACCCTACAAAGTCAAAGTTTTAGGATTTATTTCTCTCTCTCTAAAAGTACAGTTTTTTTCTCTCCTGCTGGTTTTCAGTTTAAAACATAAAGATTTCTTCCAAAAACTATTTAGAAAAAAATCCTCAGATAATCTGGTTAATAAATGTAGGGTAGAATTGATCAGACACTCACTAGTAAAAATATAATAGGGTTAAGTAGTTGCTCAACAGTAGTAGTATTACAGGTGTTTTATGAGAGCCGTTGCATAATTTCTAGTGTACTATTCAATTTTTTCTACAATGAAAAAGTATTCATTTCCTTTTTGATACAAATAAAGCATAAAATGTAGATTAAAAAATTGATACCTGGAGATAACAGGTGACTTGCTGCCATTCATTGTATTTGTTCTTTCCCAAGGTTTTCTTGTTGGTTCTTTAAAAATAAGGAACAAAAGTTATTAAGCATCTTACATGCTTCCAGAGTTAATGTAAAACAAGTAACAAAATACTAAATTACTGTATCTGTTTATGTGGTAGTAATAAAAATTAAAATTTAAATTATAAACTTTTTTTTTTTTTGAGTTGGAGTCTCACTCTGTCGCCCAGACTGGAGTGCAGTGGCTGCTCCAGGCCACTGCAGCTTCGACCTGCTGGGCTCCGGCGATCCTTCTGCCTCTGCCTTCCAAGTAGCCGGAATTACAGGCATGCGCTACCACGCCCGGCTGATTTTTTGATTTATTGTAGAGATGAGGTCTCGCTGCCCAGGCGGGTCTCGAACCCACGGGCTCAGGCAATCCACTCACTTCAGCCTCCCAAAGCGCGGGATTACAGGCTGAGCCACCGAGCCCGGTTTAAATTATAAACTTTAATAAAAACCTGTAAGGGTTCTAATTTGCACAATTTCAGATCTTAAAATGAGAAGAAATTAATAAGCAAGTGTGATACGTTTTTAAGGAAAAATTTAGATTGCTAAATCCAAAATACTATCATTCTAAAAACCAGATGGTAAGAAGTTTCTCCTAATAAAGACAAGATAAGAATAAGGGTAGGATAATTTTAATTAATTAGGATAGTTTAAATTAATTAGAATGGGCTAATATCACCTACATTATTTTAACCTATTTTTAGTGCCGAGGATAAAACATAAAGTATAATGTGCTCACGTACTTCAACATTTCATCTAAATCCAAATAGTCCTCTTGGAAAAAAACTACAGATTTCAGAATCATGGAATCCTATTGTACTTCCTTGCTTCTTAAACAACCAATTCTTGGGTCTTAGCAGACAATTCCAGTTAAATATAAATAAATTCACTCTAAGCTTTTATTATTTTGTAATAACACGCTGTAGTTAGTGACTCACTAGTTGGCTGTCTATTGTGCTTGAATTATTTTTCTTATTTGGGCTGACTCACGAATGCTGTCATTGGCCTTACTAGATGACTGGGTGAGAATAGAAGTGGAATCTTGTCATAAAGGAAAGAATTTGGGCTACATGAGAATCAACTCTATTTAGGAATTGTGATCTCACTGTATAGTTTTAACTAAGAAACTGCTCCGAGTTCCAATGTAGTCCCTCAGTTGGTTTCTGCGCATTCTCACTTAGGTAGCTTATAGTATTCTTCAAACTACACATATGCAAAACTAAAATCAAACTCTCCCACAAACCACTGCTTTTGGTTCTGGATTTCTGCTGCTAGCAGGCATCTAGGTGTGACTCTCAAGACAAGTGATCTTGCTTTAATCCTCTAATTACTCAATTCCTTCCTTTTTCATTAACTTTTTTATTTTTTCTTTTGTCTTCTAACAGTTAACACATTCTCTCAATGTGCTCACAGCAGTGGGAAGCTCCAGAGTCAGTAAGGGACATGAAATAACCAGACGGGGTTCAGGATAGACAGAATCAGAAACACATCCAACAGACACCAGCTAGAGCAAGTGAACAGAGGGAAGTCCTGAATGAAACTGAGTGACAACTGGACCAGACACTGTCACCAAAGAGGAGGCAGGCAGAAGGATAAGGTAGTAACTCCAGAGTGGATAAGATGTAGCAAGTACTACCTTTTAACACTGGTTGAAGTTCCTTCTCAATCAGCCAAACCAGAACCATCTTTTAACCTTAAAAGGGCTGATCTGGTAGTGATGAAGAGCTGTTCAGTTCAGCTCTGTGGGAAGAGAAACCAAGCCTGCTTCTCTCCAAGGGGCTCCAGAAAGGCAGGGGTTGGGTTCCCTTCAGAGGGCCTTTATTGTATTGGACCTGGTACAGAGCATCTCAACTTGTCTACCTCAGTCCTCCCTGGTTTCTATGGCACATGCTCACAAGTGCCATTTTAATGTGTCCAAAACATTTTCAGAGGATTAAATGTCAACTTGATACTTGCAGAATAAAGTCTAAACTCCTGATCTTTTAGTAAAAGCCTGTCTGAAAATTTTTGTTTCTAATTCACTTTCTCAACCTTTCCCCCCAATACTCTTCAAAAAAATTTTCACGCCAGGACTGATGGCTCATGCCTGTAATTCCAGCACTTCGGGAGGCTGAGGTGAGAGGACTACCTGAGTACAGGGGTTTGAGACCAGCCTGGGTAACTTGCAAGATCTTGTTTCTACAATAAATCAAAAAATTAGCTGTGTGTGGTGGCACATGCCTGTTGTTCCTGCTACTTGAAAGGTTGAGGTAGAAGGATTGCTTGAGCTCAGCAGGTCGAGGCTATGGTAGCCATAAGCGTGCCACTGCATGCCAACCTGGGTAACAGAGTTAAGACTCTTACTAAAAATTAAAAAATAAAATTAAGGAAAAAAAAGAAGAGTTCTCCATTTCTGTCAGGGAGTCTATTTACTATTTCCTAGTCTCTTCTTGCTCATTTACAACTCCATACCTTTGCTCATGCTATACTTACTACCTAACAAATCACACCTTCCCTTGCTTTCAGCCAAACTAAATACTCTTCAAAGCATAGTAAAATGTCCCTTTACCTCACAAAGATGACTCAGGTGACTCTACATATGGCCTACTCCCTCTTTGATACTTTACACAGTATCAACGCTGGTTGTAAAAGACTAACTTTCACTGCTGTGTGTCCCATCTTCCCAGTTGGATCATGCGTTTTTTGCGCTCAGGATCCTTTTATTTTGAGTTGGATTTCTCACTCTGTTGCCCAGGTTGGAGTGCAGAGACACGCTCATGGTCACTGCAGCCTCAACCTGCTGAGTTCAGGTGATCCTTCCGCCTCAGTCTTCCAGGTAGCTGGAACTACAGGCATGCACCACTATGCCCAGCTAATTTTTTGATTTACTGTAGAGATGAGGTCTCGCCAAGTTGCCCAGGCTGGTCTTGAAACCATGAGTTCAGGCAATCCTCTTACCTTGGCCTCCCAAAGTGCTGGGATTATAGGCATGAGCCACTGTGCCTGGCTGTGCTCAGGATCTTTATCTTTCTTTTTTTTGGAGTTGAAGTCTCACTCTATCGCCCTGGCTGGAGTGCAGTGGCATGGTCACAACCACCCCAGTGTCGACCTGCTGGGCTCCAGCAATCCTTCCGCCTCAGCCTTCCAAATAGCTGGAGCTATAGGCATGTGCCACCACACCTGACTAATTTTTGATTTATTGTAGAGACGAGGTCTTGCCATGTTGCCCAGGCTGGTCTCAAACCCGCAGGCTCAGGCAATTCTCTCACTTCGGCCTCCCAAAGTGCTGGGATTATAGGAGTGAGCCACTGTGCCCGACCTAGGACCTTTACCTTTCAATGTCAATTTTAAAAACTGAATGAAACAAGTAGAAAACAAGAGAAGCCTTAGCCCTTCTGATGAACCCTTAATTTTATATATATGGCACACACATACACAGAAAACCTGTGTTTAGTTTTTCATATTTTGAATAAGGTGATAAGTATTAGATAAAAAGTTCTTTTTTTTTTTTGGGTTGGAGTCTCACTCTGTCGCCCAGACTAGAGTGCAGTAGCTGCTCCTGGCCACCACAGCCTCGACCTGCTGGGCTCCAACAATCCTTCTGCCTCAGTCTTCCAAGTAGCTGGAACTACAGGCGTGTGCTACCACGCCCAGCTAATTTTTTTTTTTTAATTTATTGTAGAGATGAGGTCTCACCAAGTTGCCCAGGCAGGTCTCGAACCCACGGGCTCAGGCAATTCACTCATCTCAGCCTCCCAAGGCACAGGATTACAGGCTGAGCCACCCAGCCTGGCTGATAAAAAGTTCTTAACTTGGAGTCCATGGATAACCTTCAGGGAATTCATGAACATTTTGAAATTATGAACAAGTTCTTATAAAAATATGACTCTTTCCTCCTGGAGAGAGGTTCCACAGCTCTTATATGCTAAAGCTTCTATGACCCCAAAGTATGAATTTCACTGAATTCAAGAACATTTCCCAAAAGTTTTAAAGAATTTTTTTAGCTTACAAATTAGAAGCTTTATTTTGTAGATATTCACATCACCCAAAGGAATGACTAAAATGACAACATTCTCAATATGAGAATGCTCTGAAATAGACTGCAGTGCTAGCTTAACATGCTCACTTAATTTTTATCTTTAAGATTTAACTACCAGAAATACTCCCCTTTCATCTAATAATGTATTTTTACTGTCAGTTAATAACCTCAAATCAGTTTAAAAATACGTATGATCCTAATAACAGCAAATGTAATTAATTTTGGTTTATAAGAAGAATGAAGCTAAAATAAGTGGGCCACAAATCAGTGAATTTTTTATGAAGACAACATAAACTAAGTCCTATTCAGAGGAAAAACAGGGTAGGCTGAAGAAAACTAGTTCACAAAGTTGCAATGTTAATTATGATTTAGCAATCAGACTACAGGATAGTCACTATTCAATGAGAATGAGGGATGGGGGGATGCGTTACAATCACAAAAACAAAAGTTTAAAAAAAACCAGAATTCCAGGTATAGCTGGTAGTCTCTAAATCAAAATATTCAGACATTAATATAAATGTTTCTCAATAATGGCTTTCTATGGACCATTCTAGATATTAATTCCTCAAGTTTTTTTATGTCACTTCATTCCAAAATAGGTAAGAAGGTGAACAGAATATCCAGTCTTCAGTCAAATATGAACTAAAGATCGTTAATCGTTAGTCAAACATGAAGAAATAACATATGAATATGTAACAACCTCACATTCTTATTTTGGAAATAGTCCTCAGTAAGTACCTCCAGTAACATATATTTTGCTAATATTCTAAGTAATATATTTTATGCCAAGAGTTTTTAATATCAACTATTTCACTGAATTCAAGAACACTTCCCAAAGGTTTTTAAGAGATTTTTTTAAGCTTACAAATTAGAAGTTTTATTTTTTTGATATCCATATTACCCAAATGCATGGCTAAAATGACAACGTTCTCAATTTGAGAAAGTTCTGTCATAGACAGCAGTGCTAGCTTAATATGCTCACTTAATTTTTACCTTTTTTTTTTTTTTTTTAGATTGGAAGATATAGTTTATTTTTAAAAAGTAAATTAGAGAGAGAAAGAGAGAAAGGATTCACCTCCCCAAGGTAGGGGAGGGGGCCAAAGCTAAGAAAACATAGCTCAAAGAACACATGGCTTGGCCAGAACTTAATGAAAGCAATGGCCTAATTTTTACCTCTAAGAATCAACTATTAGAAATACTTCCCTTTCATCTAATAATGTATTCTTACTGTTTTAGTTAATAATCTCAAATCATTAACAATAATACAAAGAATGTGTAAAAATACAGTATTCAAAGAGAGCTGTAAGAAAAAAACTTGTGAGTTTTAACGGATTTCTCAACATCAACAAGAAAACAACAGTGACTTCTGGGATCACAAAAGGCAGAGGAAAAAAGTCAATGCTTTCAAAAAGTCAACGCTTTTAAGAACGTCAGCATCTTGGCAACCAATCTGCCACTTAGTTCAAATACGGGGGATTTTTAGTGGGGGAGTATTTAGAGAACGTTTATATAGGTTAAAATATTTCTCTGGAACTTACCAGGTGTACTTGTTGAAGAAGCCTTAGAAGTTACAGGCTCTGAATCTTCCTAAATATATAGAAAAACAAATATTAACATCACATCTATTAGAACCTCATTGCTGTATATATTTAATGTCTTACACGTCTCCTTTAACTATTTTTTCTCCTCATCTTTTCTTTCATCTATCTTTTCTCCCTTCCATTTCAGTCTGAGCTTCCTACCTCTTACCTTCCTACCACTTCTCCCTTTGACCTGCCCCATAGCTCCTTTCCTCATGTGTTCCCACTGAGAACTAGCCCTAGCCAATGCTGTGAAGCCAGATACAAGTGACAGATTTGAGAAATGGCATTAAGGAAGACCAAGTGTTGCAAGGAAAACAATTATGCTGTTTGGTAAACACCAATATATAGACCAGATAAAGCAGAGGTGGCCCAGCTGAATCAGGGAGGGGCCATGAAAGTAACCCTCTTAAGGGGCACAGTTAATAACCACAGAGCTCACAGGGGAAAATGTAAAAAAAAGATGTTTATTTAATCTAATCTCTTCATTTTAAATTAATGCAAGGAAAATGAAATCCTAAGAAACAAAAAACCTAGTAAAAGGTCCTTCACTCATTTAAAGTTAGACTTGGGAACAGAATTAAACCCTACAGGGTTTGAACTTTAGTGCTTTCCCCACACTCCACACATTCAACTCGTTTTACTAAGAATACCATTAAAAACTTATAAGTAACACTCAAAACAAGCCATTTTGCATTTTGAATAGTTGAACATTAGCAAACTTAAGTTCAAACTAATTAAGTACAGATTAAACAAATGGTGACACAATTTCTTGGATGAACTGTGCTTGAGTTTCAAATTTTAGTTTCAGATAGGAGACTATCTTTATTCACTTACACTTTTGTCCTCTTTTTGTTCTGTTTCTATTGTTGATCCCTTTTCTGCAATTCTTCTCCTACAAAGAAGGCAAATCAAAATTTTTAAAATATCACCTAACTCTTAGTATAAGAATGACTCCTTCTATAAGAGCAAAGAACTGCATCAAGTTATATTAGGAATAAAATTAACAAAATCCTCTTCATTCTGGACATGTCCACTATAAAGAAATTTCTCACCTCCTGGCCAGCAGGGCACTCATTTCCTCCATTAAGCCACTACCCCCTAGAGGAAGGGGTCCGTTTCCACGACCTGTATCTGTTTTAGATGAGGCCGAGTTCACACCAATGGCATTCCCTCCGCTTTGGAAAGAGGCATCCTCCATCTTAACGAGAATATACATACACAATAAACTCTTATGTTAGGCATCCATATGTTTATTCATATATACATTCAAAACAGAAAGATACATCAGCTTTAATTTTTTAAAACTACCTAAATATTAATTTTTTAACCTTCTTAAGAACCGATAGAGCAATAGCATTGACTTTATGTACCAGTGGGAGCTTATTAAAATTGAAATCACCAATAAAGGGATGAAACAATATCACATATATCTTCCTGTTATACACTGAGAAGGACACAACTTTATTTTGGTGATATTCTTGCAAAAAAAAAAAAAAGACCACATGGCTTGAATCTAATCTTGAGAAAACATCAGATAAGCCACACTGAAGGACAACCTACAAAAATAACTGTCCTATCATCTTCAGATATGTCAATATCATAAGAGATTGAAGAATGTCAGAGATTAAGGTAAATCGAAGAGACATTATAACTAAATGCAAAAGATTATTCTGAATTATGAAAAAATTGTCACAAAAGACATTATTGGACTATAGATAAAATGTGAATTACTATAGATTACAGCATATTATCAATGCTATATTTTCTGATATTGATCATTATACTATGGTCACGTAGGTGAATGTCCTTGTTCTTACAAAATACACACTGGAGTATTTAGAAAATAGGAGCATGATGTTTCTGACCTACACTCAAATAATTCAGACAAAACGCATGTATGTATATGGTGAAACATACACAATGAGGGAATAATAAAACAAATATTGGTAAAACGTTAATTAATGAATCTAGGTGATAAGTATAGAAACTATCCAATTCGTGTAACAATTCTGTGGATTTAAACTGTTTCAGTTTTTAATTAATTAAGTCAATAACACAGTTCATAAAATTAGAATCATAAAACCAGAATACAATAAATTCAATACTTCAAGGTATTTAGAAAGAATAATCAATATATTAAAAATATAATAATGTGGAAAGGTATTTACCCGTGATACTTTCCTAAGTTTTGCTCCAGCAATTGCAGCGGCAAGTCCAGTTAAAGGGCGGTTGTCTTCGGACATGGATCCCGAAAAAAACCCAGACGCAGGGAGGGGAGGAGCAGGAGGCGGTGGAGGAGGAGGGGGCACTTGATTAGGAAGAGGAGGGGGAGGGGGAGGTGGTGGAGGCCCAGAGGATGGGAGTGGAGGTGGGGGAGGGGGTCCTGGGGGAGGAGGCAGTGCTGCTGAAACCTGGGCCGGGCCTGGTGGGAGTGGGGGAGGGGGTGGTGGTGCCGGTGGTCCCAAGACAATGCCTGAGAGAAAGAAATGCCAGGTAAGATCACCAACAACACAGCTAAGCGATATTACTTTATTTCACATGGCAAGGTATGGAGAAGGCCATGCTGACTCAAACATTTGCTATATAATGAGTCCCCTACATACGAACCTTCAAGTTATGAACTTTAACAATGCACACCTCAGGTTTTTTAAATGTACTATTTCTCTCCACTAGGTATCAGCCCAGCCTGTTAAATATATAAAGTACTAATATAGCTGATTATGCTAGTTGCTTAGGCTAACTTTGTCAGACTTAAAACAAATTGGACTTACAAACGTGCTCTTGAAACAGAACTCGTTCATATGTTGGGGATTTCCTATATATTAATGAATTCAATTTATCATAATTTTAAAGTTTCAGTTTTAAAATATACTGAAATGTAAACCCAAAGTGTACACCTACTTTAATGTTAGAGCTTTAGTAATAGAAATATGCAACATATCATCTAATTAGATTTTTCTTAATGGGGATTTGGTAAATTAACAAAATAAACACTTCTAAAATTTTGGAGAGAGGTAAGCATCCCTGAAAAAATAAACTAGTGCATATGATGGTAGGTAGAACTATTCAAAATAACAAACTCAAAATAATCCATGTAAAATTTAAATGTGGAGACTGCAAATTTTACAACAGTGAAGACATACATTTAGTTATTTACAGATAGCAAAGTGGCTGGATTAAAAATATGAAGGGTTGAGTCCCAGGCTTCAGTATTTTAAAAATATTCCACATTTAAATTCAGTGCATAGTCAGGGGTGAGAATCACTGAAGAAATTTACTAGTACAAATCAAAAACCCCAAAATAACTCTCAGAAACAATTAAATAAAATAAAATTTGAAGTGTAGAGTTGTCTTATCCTACAAGATAGGGAGTAAGAAGAGAAATGTGCAAATCTTGTAAAATCACAAAGGGAGTAAACAAGAATTTATTTAATAACAGAATACTGAAATAGTAGGCACTCCTTTCGTTAAGGCTTAAAAGGGGTATTTTAGGACAAATAAAATGTTATTTGCACACTGGGTGGTAATTGCTAACCTTTTCAGCTTGAGGAGTTGCATAACCAGAAAATACAAATTGCTCAAAAAAGCATATAGAGGTGATAGGCTGTCCATCTTCTACAGGCTATTAGAGTTCTGAGGATACAGCAGGCAGGTTGTTTAACCTTGTCAGGCTGTCTGCATCTCTCTTGTCAGAATAACTGTCAATGATACTAAATTGCACATACTAGAATTTTGACTCAACTTTTAAGCAAATTTGATAAGGCAACAAGAAAAATATATACACAGCAATAACAAGTTTTATTATTTTATTTTAAAAACTAAGATTTTTAAAAAAGAGATGTTTAAATCTATATTATAATACTGTTTCTTAAGTACAAATTTGTTTTCAGTTTCCCTTCTGCAATCCTTCCTAAATCATAATTTTAAAAACTAAAGTTGCTAAGCATCTTCCTATTTACTTACAGAATCAAGCCCGTCTCTACTTTCAAATAATTAACTTTTTAAATTTATTTTTATTTTTTGAGTCTCACCCTGTTGCCCAGGCTGAAGTGCAGTGGCTCACTCATGGCCACTCCAGCGTCGACCTGCTGGGCTCAGGTAATCCTTCCACCTCAGCCTTCCAAGTAGCTACCACACCCAGCTAGTTTTTTGATATACTTTAGAGACAGGTCTCACCAAGTTGCCCAGGCTGATCTTGAATCCCTGGGCTTAGGCAGTTCTTTTGTCTCAGCCTCCCAAAGTGCTGGGATTACAGGCTCGCCTGGCCTCAAATAATTAACTTAGCGATTACCTCCTCCCTTCCCTGCTGCCATAAAAGCCAGGGGTGGGGATGGGGGCGGGGGGAGAATAACTGCAGAGGACGCTATTGTCTCTCAATCATCTCTTCAGCCACTACTTCTTAAAATTTTGGACCTTGGAACCTTTTAGCGCATATACAAAACCTGCCATTCTTCTCTACCCCTCTTGCAAAGTCAGGATGCTCCACAGGGTTAGGCTGGCACCCATCCTGAAAATCCAACTTGAGAAGACCAATAGGAAAAGCCGAGATCAGAACTGTTCCAAAGGAAATTCTAGGATGATATATCTAATGACTACAGATGGGCACTAAATATATCTCTAAGTCTCCCAGAAACTAACGAAAACCAATTGAGATAACATTTACTGTGTAGATTGATGTGTCAAGTTTTCCTAGTGAAAGAACTGATTCCAGAGACCCTGAAATACCAGAAAACACCTTTAACTATAATATTGCAGAAGATACCAAAACCTAGCTCAATATGGAAATTTCTCATATGGATCCTCCAAATGCAATTAATCCAACAGAGGAATAAAAACATTTATTTTCTACTTTACTTTTTTAAGTTAAAAACGAAATACACATAGGTGCTCAACTATGAAAACCACCCTACCCAGTGATTAGGGCGATAACGACAAGCCTTACCCTGTTGGGCTGGAGTCTCGGCCGGCTGAGAGGCTGCCTGCAAGCCTGGCTCAGAAGCAGAAGAGTCTCCCAGCACAGAGTTTAGAGGAGTCTCAACAGAGGCAGGGGCAGCTGCAGAGGGAGAAGGGAGAACACTAGGCTTGGATGAGGGAGTTGAGGCAATAGGGGTGCTTGGAGGAGGAGAAGCTTGCGATCCACAGTGTGAGAGTGATGCGAGGGAAGGCAGTGGAGGCGGCGGCGGAACTGCTGGCCCTGAGGTAGGCGGCGGCGACACGGGACACGCTACAGAGTCAAGCAGCCCACTGGGCGCTGTCGGTGAGGGAGGCATTTGGGGCACGGGAGAAGAAACGCAAGCCGGGAGGACAGGCCGGGGACCAGTAGCTTTGCCTGGGGGGCTGCTAATCATTATTGGAGGGGATGGAGGGAGGGGCGAAAAGCTGGAAGTAGACCAGGCACAGGGCTTCGGAGCCGGAGGCTGAGAAGAGGGTGTGTTCACAGGAGAAGAAGGTCGAGAGTTTTTGTTCAGAGGACGAGGAGCTGTAGCATAATGGGGAAGAACAGGGTGGAAGGCTGAACCTAAAGATGTTGCAAAACGTGTCGCTGAGTGTCGCAGTGGTGGTGTAGGGGGTGTGGAAGTAGGTGGCAAAGCAGTCACTACAGCAAAATCAGGAGTGGCATCTGATACTGGAGCTGAGATGACTTTAGCATATGATGGAGGAGGTGCTGGAGGAGGCTGGCAACTGGAATACTCAGGAAGTGGAGCGTTATACAGGGAGCTGTCTGAAGATGAAGCTGGACAGAAGGTGGAAAGCAGCAGCAAGAGACAGGATAAAAAAGGAGAGAGAAAAAGGGAGCTAGTGAAGCCACAAAACCAGCATTCAGACAAAATGTATAAACGTAGACTATAGTTAGCACCAGAGAATTAGGCACATGTGCAAATAACTCTTTTTACCCAAGAATATTTTAACTTGTAAACACATTTTGGGATCCAGAAGAAGATGAAATAGGTTTCCTTTTTCTCTAATAAATGGATTCATAAATTAATTTATCTTTACAAGATAAAGGACAGTAGTGGTTTTGATTTTTATTATTTAGCCCACTGAAAGGACATTAAAATTACATGAATAGGTCCATAAACAGAAGAAAAAATTCAGTTTTTTTTTTTTTAAACAAATAGCAAAACTAGCTAAATGTTTACTACAAAGGGTGAGGAACCTCCTATTCAATGCTTATTTGAGGAAAAGTTTTTGTTGGTTTTAACTCTAGAAAGTAATTAGCTAAAAATAAATAAATTAATCTAAACAATAAGCCAACTAACCAACCAATCAACATCTAATCAGCTTACATTGAAACTTTTGATATAGGTCATAAGGAATAAAAATTCTTAAACTCTACAATAAATGCTAGCTTTAATGAATGTTAAAATATCTTAAACTTTCAGCCATCTTGTCCCTTATGTAAGTCTTTTAATAAACTCCATCAGGTTTAGTAATTTCCACTGAATTTTCACAATACTAGAAAATATATTTAAATAACTAGTGAGTTTTAGAATGTTTTACCTACTATTTTAATTCCTCCTTCAAAAATTTTAGGATACAATCAAGCAAATTTCTTGCTGAAAGGTACTATATAATGCTAAGGCATTTCAGACAATCTAAGCAATCTCATGAGGGAAATATATTCCAGGTTCATCCAATATAAAAAATTTCCCATAAAAACACACTTACATTTTATAGTCAATTTATAGGGAGTTAGAAGAATTAGAATGCCTGAGTAAAAATTTCCAAGAGCTTTCTTAAGTCTCCAAGCAATAAAAGCAATACAGAGAGAAATAAAAAGAAAATGTTAAAGTAGTAATTGCTGCATATTTTTCATAATTTCAAATTGTATTGCTAAATCCCAAGCATCTCAGTTGTAAAATATTTTATTACATATCTGCCTAAAACATCATCTAAGCGTGGATGGAAGAACACAGAATAGTTTGTAAGCTTCTTACCAGTATTGGATATTCTGCGCTCTCTCTCCCAGTCCAGCTGTTCCCTTTCTAATTGTTCCTGTCGCTCCCTTTCTTGCCTCTCACGTTCCAGTCTTTCCAGCCTCTCCCGCTCTTGTCTTTCTTGCCTCTCCCGCTCCAGGCGTTCCTGCCGTTCCCGTTCTTGTCTCTCTCTCTCCAGTTGCTCTTGTTCCAGTCGCTCTCTCTCCAGCCTTTCCCTTTCTAATCTCTCTCTCTCCAACCGTTCCCTTTCCATTCTTTCTCTCTCCAGCCTTTCCCGCTCCAGCTCCTTTTGTCGCTGCTGTTCTTGTAACTGTCTGAAATTTTAAAAAAAACAAGGAAAAAAAAAATTTAACCAAATGCATCTATGGTTACTCACCATTAAAAAGCTATTCTTTCCACAATGGAACTATGTGAACTTTCTGATTCAAATAAAAGCAACACAGAGCATGCAATCAACTTCTCTTATCCCACATGAAGAATGGCTACTTTAGAAAGAGATGACTTATGTTTCATACAAATGGAAATAATTTCTCGGATTAGCCTCATATTGGCTGAATGCTTCAGCACATTATACTAATGTCTCATTTTACTCTGTGCTTTTCCTAAAAAAAGTACTGCAAGTAAATGAATTTTCCAAAGAACTCAGCATACCACTTTAATAACCAAAGGCCATTATTTTAATCATTTAATGAAAAAACTTGTAAACTGTAATGTCCTCCCTAATAGCAAATTTAATTATACAAGTAACACATTATCGTCTCAGAAAAGACAATGGCTGGCCACAGCAATAGCTCAATAAACATTCACTGAATGAAAAAAAGGCAAGTAAGAAGAATTGAAACCTCACATCCAGAGGCAATTATAATCAACATTTGGTATTATATACCTCCAGACTTTTCCTCATATAAAATTACAAACATTAACTTTAAAACCAAATAAAATGGAATCCTATTTCCCACTACTATGAAACCTGCTTTCCTTTCTCTTAATATATTGTGAAAGCCTTCCTAAGGCACCTAGTTGAGCATCTTTATTTTCTATGAGTGCATAATATTCTATTGTTTAGCTGTCTAATTTAAGCAGTCTCCTATGGAAGTATATTAAGTTATCTTCATATTATTACTAATACCATAGGAAACATTTATCTTCATCTTTGAACTCTTTTCCAACTGTTCCTACCTGATCAATATTAACAAAGATTTGCTGGTTTAAAAAGTATGAGCTTCTTAAGATTTTTGATACAAATTCCAAATTTTCTTTAGGAAAAGCTGTACCAATGAACCATACCTAAAAAAAAGTTTTCTTGATCTTATATTTCATAGCAATGTGGAGAAGAGTAAATGAGGTAATAGCTTAAAGTTCTTTAAGAAGTTACCTGACGAAAGTACCAGGTGAAGTGTAAGAATACTCAGTAAGTGTGGGCTGTAATAGTAATCATTATTTGGAAATTTCAAATTGGAACTTTTCCTGGACTGGCTAAGAAACTGGTAGGGTTCTGATTAGAGGCAAAGCTAAATGACAAAACATGTATGCCATCTTTTATTCTTCCTAGCAGTATCAACACACAATAAAATCTTTTTTAAAAAATATCTTTCCTTTTTATTTCCTAAGCTGGCTATAAGAAAAAGAAAAAGGCCCACTTGACAAGTAAATCAACCATACTTATCTCACAAAACACACAGCCTCTCTCTGGACATATCACCATACTTGGCAACGACGGTAAGAGAAGCTGGGTATGACAGGGCACACCTGTAATCCCAGCCTTTGGGAGGCTGAGGTGGGAGAAATGCTTGAGCACAGGAGTTCAAGACCAACCTAGGCAACACAGTGAGCTTTGTCTCTACAAAAAAAATTTAAAAATTAGCTGGGTGTGGTGGTATATTCCTGTGTCCCCATTAATCGGGAAGCTGAGGTGGGAGGATCACTTGAGTCCCGGAGTTGGAGATTGTGGCAAGCCATGACTGTGCCATCGCACTCCAGTCTCAGTAAAAGAGTGAGACCCTGACACATACACACACACACACACACACACACACACACACACACAGACTGCAAGAGAAAAACACAAGAAAGCTATGGTAGTGCTGATTATGAGTAGTTGCTTGAGATACTGACCACTAATAATAAAATCAGGTTTTCAGAATACAGCACTAACTTCATTATGCTTTTGATAAATCACTAGTTACCAAAGTTTTTGAGGGTAACAATATCACTGGGGGATGAGGGGAAGAAATTAGACATATTCAAAATAATGGTTTTCATAATGAACTAAACAAAGAAAAGGCCGGGCATGTGGCTTATGCCTGTAATCCTAGCACTTTAGGTGGCTGAGGTGAGAGGACTGCTTGAACCCAGGAGTCTGAGACCAGCCTGGGCAACACAGTGAGACCTTGTCTCTAAAAAGACATCAAAAAATCAGCCAAGTGTGGTGATGCATGCCTGTAGTCTCAGTAGGTTGAGGTTTCAGTGAGCTGTGATCATGCCACTGCCCTTTAGCCTGGGTGACAGAGTGAGACCCCTGACTCAAAATAAATTAACAGAGATAAGACAGCTAATAAACTCAGCTGGGGTTTGCATTAAATTTTAAACATGCATCATGTGTCAAAAAATACGGGCCATTTAAAAAGTAATACTCTAAAGCAATCTGTTGGGTTCAAAGATTAAAAGATACATCTATACTATTCTAACCAAAATATATATAAATATAGAAGCTAAAGAAAAGTATTTAACTCTAGATTACACTAGCTGAACCAAGAAACCTATGATGAAAATACCCAAGTTTTTAAGTCTTTGTACATTTTTGTATCACTACTTTTATTTTTATCAAAATATATGATATATGACATATGATATGTATATAGTTTTAAGTTAAGGCTTACAACAAAAAGCAGCTCATACTCCAATATCCCACCTCTGTGTCCTACTCAGATGTTTCTTATGTTTTCACTTTAGATATCTACTTTCTAATAGGAAGATATCTCCCATAACTCCCTACCCACACTCAAACTTTTCCCAACATGGTCATGAGAAAATAGGATTTTTGGTTAAATCACTATTTACAATTTACATTATTAACATGATGATGCAAATACTGTTCAAATTTGAAACACATAATAGTCTATGACTACATTTTATTTCTCAAGTTCTTAGTGTTTTTTTAACCACCAAGTCAATGGCTATTTCTCTAAGCAATATAATGCTTTTAACACATACAAAAAAGTAAGCTTTAAGTCACAGGCAGAAGGTCAGGTACAGGTGAAGTGAATCTGAATCACTGAATAATGACATTTACAAGTAGGGGCACTGACTTAAGATTGTTTCACATGTCATAATATTCTAGGGTTTTCAGTCAATAAGAGATAAAAGAGTATCTACTGATGTAGGAAAAGAACAGTGCCAGAGAATGTTTCCAAGTTCACTGATGGGTGACTCAACAGGCAATGCATATAGTTGCAGAGATTCTCCTGACTACATTTTCTTGCTTTGAAAATAGAAAGGAAACTGTTGAACATTTCTAGCTAATTTTTAGCCTGCTAACTGAAAAGAGCCCATCTAAACATATTTCCCAAAATAGCCTATCTAGCAGAAAACCCCTGGCTTACAAATCTTTAGTGGCATGAAAAATTACCACCTAAATTGGATGGTTTATAAATCTGACTCTAGTAAGTTTTGACCTCTAAAGCAAGACATGTGTGTATCTTTTTAGGAGTTTCCAAATTTATAAACTTGGCTTTTCTCAGAATTATCACTGCCAATTTACATACTGAAAATGCACGTCTGCTCTTTCTAGAGTTCTCTCTACAACTGTTTTCTTCAGTCATTAATAGAATTATGTGAGGATTTTTTTTTTCAAAGTACAAGCACCTTAATTCTGAACCATGGAAAAATTCTGACAGACTAATTTTTCTTTAAGTTAGGAAATGCACTCTAATAATTTGAATGTTTCTGAAAAAATACAAATTATTTTCAGAAACAATTATAGTGCAAATGACCAATATTTAGCCACCAAAGCATTTTAAAAAATCATAATTCTTTCCACCACCAAAATATCTATTTCTCTCCGAAAGAGGTATTCCCAAATGTAAATAGATGCACAAAGCCCTGTCTGGCCCACAATGAAATTAATAGCTTTAAAAATATATATTCAAACACATATTAGTTTATGTTAACTCAGACTTATTTTTCAAAGTAAGTAAAATATAAGTAACAATACTTCAAAATACATTTCATTCAGCTTTACCTATAATGAATAGTGTTAGGTAAATAAGAGTGATTTCTGTAATGACACAATGAAGTTGGAGCAAACTAGGAAAAATGTTCTGAGTTGATAACATTTAGTAGCGCTGTTATTATTGCCATTTGTCAGAAAATAAAATTAAGTTGATATGATCATATAACATGGGCATTTCACTTCTCTATGAGCAAACAAATGAAAAATTAACAAAATTTAACAAAACAGTTAAGTTTTAATATTACAAAGTTCCCAAGACAAGAGTCAATACTTACAGCAGAAGGCGATCAACTTTTGGTCCATCCTGCCTCTGAAGGCCAACTGGAGGGCTATACACTCTCATGGTTCCAACTCCTCAGTTCTGGGCCAGGATTATTATTCCCCTTTTATAACTTTCAGGTAGAGTGGTGATTTGCAAACTATTTATAGGCATTAACTATATTAGGTTCTATGTTGAGACTAACGTAAGACTGACTCATGTTTCTTAGAATATATTTTTCATCACAGCCAAGAAAGTCAAATATTAATGAGTAGGAACCAAAAACTATTTAATACAGGATATATGGTTAAAAGATATTGGACTCATAAGATTTATCATGTAAAGTAAATATTTCAGCCCAACTTTACATTGATTAAAGATAAAAATTAAACTTATAAAAGTAATACATAACTTAGAAGTCAAATAGCAGTACAAGGGTTATAACAAAAGTCATCCTCTTAGCAACCCTCACCACTTCTGATTTCACGTCTCAGAAGAAACTACCTTCAATAGTCTGGTATTTATTGCATGGCTCTAAATACAGTAATTTGTCTGGAACTATTACTTCCTGATTTTTCAAATTTAGATGTTATCTACTGACTTCCCACTATACAAATTATTTAATTCCTACATCCTTAACCCCCCAAAAGACCATTTCTTCCCCACTCTCCCAATGAAATCTTAATGCCGCTATGGATACACCAATATTCACTTATCACATAATTCACTGCTAATCACATTTACTTTCCAGAACAATTTCTTTCTTACTCTGATGCTAACCATCAGTGCTTTTTTCCATTTAATTCTTCTTCTATGTACCTATC